TTTTTCCTTACAGGTGACTCTCCTCATCCCCCCCACCTTCTTTCTTCCTACTTCGATTGGAACCCTCCTCCCCCTCCTCCTCCCTCCTAAAACCCCTCCCTCTTTTTTTCCCCTTCTTCTTCTCAAGTCCCTCCCCTTCCTGCCCCCACCCCCACCCTTCCCCGCTCCTTCTATTTGTCTAACAGACGCCCCTCCTCCCACCTCTTTTCCTTCTTTCTTCTTACCAGGTGCTCTTCCCAACCCCAAAATAAATTGTAAAAGCCTTCCCCAAATATTGTGTAGATCAAACTTTGTGACGTAATGTAGTGAGCGCTTACAGTGGTGGTAATGCTAAAACGACAGCGGTAAAAGTAGAGTAAAACGAACAGATAGCAAATGATGGATTGACAACGTTTTATCCCCATTCAACACAATTTACTTCATTTACTCTGATCTAAAGTATCGAACAAGCACCCCCACCCTCCTCGCTTTTTAATTTTCAGGGTATTTTTGCGCACCCCCCTCCCCCGTCTTTTTATCTTCCAGCTTGCCACGACCGACGATCGTGTGAAACATTATATCTAGAATCTAGATATCTGAATGAAACTTTTTTTTTTGTTTTTTTGTAAATGGCAAATTACCCTTAGTATTAGTACCGGTACCGGTTTGGCTACCTCAATTTTCTGTACCTTTTAAAAACTTTTGTACATTGGTTTATATTCTTTAATGAAACTGGTTTGTTCCTAAATGGGGAAAAGTTGTCACAAAAACTTACTAAAATCATTAAAATCTCATGATCCTTTGTTCTTTTATTCACTGAAGGAGAAATTAAACAAAATTGTTTTTACTAGTACTGGGGTGTGAGGCTGCATGTGCCACCCCCTCCCCCCCCCTTCCCCGGCTTATTTATTTCGGACCTCTTAATTGTCCCTAGTTGGCCCCGACTCGATGTCCGCCGCCTTGATGATCTAAATCTATTCAGTGGGGACGTAAACATAGGCTACTTACATTTAAAAGGGAAAAGAGAGAAAACTGCATCCACCCTCGACGCTTTACGGCAACAAAGGATGGAAAAGAAGAAGAAAAAACGAAAGAAAGAAAGAAGAAGAAAGTTGTACAGCCCACTAGCCCCTGCTCCCGTCTGCACAGAGCGATATTAGCCAAATACAGCGGGCAAGGAAGCCGGTGCCTGCAGGCAGCCCTTTATATTAGAAAGCCGTGGCTATTTTTAGAACGTGCTGTGTACGTCACTCGCTCGACACATCCGGAACTTCCAAAAGGTCACGTGAGAAAACCCCAGGAATGTGGTGTTGCTGTGGTGGTCAGATTGTGTATTGCTTCCTGCGGGATATGTATTACTTTTGTTTTGTTTGGTTATGTTTTGGTAAGAATGTAATGATGCTTGCAACTGCACAAGGACATACTATGCGAGGCATCGTGGCGAAATCTGGCTCTCGTTAAAATTATAAAATGGAAGAAACAGGCACTTTTAGGCCAGTTTGGCAATTTTTGTCAATTTTTCTGTTTTTTGGCTGACACTTATATGTCCATACCAAAACACATTTCTTATGTGAATTTGACTGAAAAAAGTTGATTAAAGGCACAAAATATGTCTTTTTTTTAGTTTATAAAGACTCTCTAGCTATTGGAGTTACCAAATTTTGGCGGCCATTTTTTCACAAATTTCACTACTGAAACCAGGAAATCTCACTTCCTTCAATCGCGAATATTTTGACTTCTATTCAAGATAATATGTGAGGCAGCGTGGTGGAATCAGGCTCTCGTCAAATTTTGGGCATGTAGAGTTATTGGTATCATCTTAAAGCTTGTTCACTTGTCTTTATTTGGATGAAAAAAATATCCATTTATCTTGAATACAAGTCGAGATATTTTCGAAAGAAAGAGGTGGGGGTCACCTGTTTTCAGAGATAAAATTAATAAGAAAATGGCCGCCAAAGACTAGTTATTTCCTTGGCCTAAGAGTCCGTGGTAACTGAAAATTTACTTTTTCATGCCTTTAATCAACGCTTTTCAGAAAAATCAACCCAGAAATGAGTTCTTTAATGGGCATGAAAGGTGTTGAGCCAAAAAACAAAAATTTGATAAAAATTCACAAACCTGCGGAAAATGCAAGTTTCTTCATTTTGATTATTTTGACAAGAGCCTGATTCCACAACGCTGCCTCACATATATC